ATGGATGCAGACAGCGAGCGTGTGTGTATATATATATATATATACGTATATATATATATATATATATATATATATATATGTATATATATATATATACGTGTATATATATATATGCATATATACATATATATATATATATGTATATATATATATATGTATGTGTATATATATATGTGTGTATATATATATATATTATATGGTTGCACACATCAAAAGCCTACTCTTATTGCTAACGCCCCAACATTACACACGGCATGATGCACCATGATCTGCAAGGCCCTTCCGGGGCCGGATACCCAGGTGTGCACCAGAAAAGCATCGATAGCATCAAACCTCGCACGGGGCTTCCCGAGGTTTGATTCCATGCCGGACCCCTAAGCCCCAAACCCTAAGCCCTCCTGAAGGGAAGCAGGCTTTGAGTGTGTGATTTAAACGACTTTAGATTTTGGGCCAGAGCATGTTGGGCCTGGGCTTGGGCTTGCTCCTACATGACGGTACAAGAAAATGACGCGATTACCAGACTGACAGTCTGTAGATCGGAATACTCATTGAATACTTCAAGATCGACACAAGCCCATGAAATAGGTGACTTAATAATTCGAACAGGGCTTTGGGCCGTGCTATCGTGCAACTATTGTAAGGAACCCTGACGAATATGATTCCTACGTAGTTGTTCAGGCTTCTCCTCAAAGTACATCCCAATCGAAATCATGAGCTCCAGCCTGACAGCCAAACTGAGCCATTTGAACCCGGATAGGGTTTAGGGTTTAGCATTGTTCACCTGAAAACTGAAAACCTTGAACGCCAAAATTCCCACCAACACAGAAACAAACCAACGGCGAGCTTGCCTTAACACCTCAAAAGCCGGGCCGTTTACACCCCAACCTCCGAGGGCCCACATCTCAAATCCACTGACAACTGGACTCAACCGCAAAGCCGAAAAGGCATAGAAACCCGAAGCCCTAAACCCTAAACCCTGAACCAACAACCCTAAACTCTTGTTTACTGGCTTGCAACGTCACGCCAGGACCCTAAACCCTAAACCTAAACCCTAAAAGCCTCAAGCCTCATCTCCTACTCTCTGAAACCTACACCACTTCTAGACTATCTCAACAAAATGTGTATGATACCGCAGGCAGAAGCAGCTCGACTCCACTTCATAAAAAGCATTCTTCAAGATGATCAACCGCAGAAACGTGGTCCAAGAAAAGTCAAAAATCCTCCAAACGTACCGCCAAGCCGTCATGGCCTAAATCCTAAACTCTAAACCCCAAGCATTGATTCAACCCTCAGCCCTAAACTCCAAACCTTAAAACCCGAAACCCTAAACTTTAAACCCAAAGCCTTAAACCCCTAACCCTAAACCTAAGCCTCAACCCTAAGACCCTAAACCCAAAACCCCGCACCCTGAACCCTAATCCTAAGGCCCTAAAACTCCGAACCTTAAACCCCGAAGCTCTAAGCCATAATATAGGGGCTTTAATAATTAGAATAGGGTTTAGGGGCCCATTACACTATAGTCAATAAGAAGGAACCCCCAGAAATATTATGGGCAATTATTATTATATGGCCCCTGCATTCAGCTCAACCTAAACCCTAAACCCTACATTAAGCGCCCAAGAAAAAACTGTGTGCCAGACTCGGGCCGGAGATAGCCTTCCACATGGTCCACGGTGTGGATGAGCCGGCCTCAGAGCTTTGAATGAAAGGTATGGGGGTTTCCAAAAATAGGGGACCCTACTATAGTACCCGAAAAAATAGGATTCTTATCATAAGGACCCCAAAATAAGGTACCCTAATTGTCGGAAACTCCCGTATCGGGATTTAGGGTTCAGGGTTTTTAAGGGTTTAAGGGGCTTAAAAAGGGGTATAGGATGGTATAGGGGTTTAGGGTTTAGGGTTCTTAAGGGGTTTAAGGGGCTCTAAAAGCGGTATAGACTGGTATAGGGGTTCATGGTTTAGGGTTTAATTTTAAGGGGTTTTTAAGGGTCGGGGTTTAGGGGTGTCGGGGTTTTTAGGGGTTCGGGGTTTAGGCGTTTGGGGGCTGCTTTTAGGGTCTAGGGATTTAGGTTTATTGTTTAGGGTGGTTGACATAGAGACCGATTCAAAATATCATTCTCTGTTGGGATAAGATGGAGTTTCTATGATAACCTACAAGAACGGGGTCTTGAGGAACACCAAAACCCGCATGTCTTTCTGAATCTAAACCTCAAACTTGAACCTTACACCCGGAATTCATGTCCATGTGAAGCTAGGTTTGACCTTTTGGGGATGTGCTTTGGGCACATAGTCCTGGGTTCTGGGTCTATGGTATGAGGCATACGAATTCGGGGATCATGCCGGCCAATCAGGCACATGACAACTGCCTCCGCACGTCCGGAAGACGGACCGAGCCCCATGCCAAACGCATCCCGGGTTTGGGGTTTAGGGTTTAGGGTTTAGGGATTAGGGTTTAGGGTTTAGGGTTTAGGGTTTAGGGTTTAGGGTTAAGGCGATCAAAACCTGAAAACAGCAAAGCCCCCGGTGATCGTACATGCTACCAGTACCAGCTGAGGCCGCGACTGTACAGCTCGATCTGCCGCCTTCCGATGACCTGCCGAGGTTGCAGTTGTCCACCTACCATACACCAACAACAGCGTACCCTTAACAACAGCGTACCCTAAAACCTAAACCCTAAACCCTAAACCCTTGAAAGCAAGTGCTCATACCAAGTAGTCTGTCGTTCTGCTAAGATTCCTAAGATTCCTAAGGTAACCTTAGTCCATCGTGCGGACACTGCTGCTGCAGCTGTTCCTCTCCTGTCACTGCTACTCCGATACCCCTTTTCCCCCTGCCACTACTCCTCCTACTACTACTTCTTCTTCTGCTACTGTTACTATAGTACTAACTACTTACTAAACGTCGAACCAGGCTCCATGAACCGAGAAAGCCGCACGGCTTAGGGTTAGACCCAAGACCCTGATATCCTAAACCACTCCATACCCAAACCCAACATCTTTGGCTTCCACAGGAGAAGACTCATGGGCCCCCAGCCTTGGGCTAATGTAGGGGCCTAAATGATGACCTATACTATTTTAGGGGTTCGTTATTATAGTTGTAATGTAACGGCAAAACCCCTATTCTAATTATTAAGGCCCCTAATATAGAGCCCGATTATTTATAGATCCCTTATAGAACCCTTGAAGGATCCCTTTAGAGGAACCCCCAAACCCTACTTAGATTCTTAAGGCCCCTTTATTACATCATGTCATCCGTCGGGCCTCGAAAACCGCCAAGGGCTGGGGCCCTAAACCCCAAAGCGCACAAGGTTCGGGTTTAGGGTTTTTTGGGGGTTTAGTATAGAATCCTCAACAATTACTTACATTGCTCCTATTGTTCCTTATTATGGTTATCGTAGAGTATACCCTCAAACCGTGTTTTAATTTTTAAGGCCCCCAGCGGTTTAGGGTTAGGGATGTCGAAGGCAGCAAGGTCCAGGGATCTTCAAATCCAGCCCAGAGGGGCTTCAAAACCCGTTCAACTCAGCTATAGCTACCGTAACTGGTAGAGGGCTCCTTCTTGCGAATTTTCGCGTTGATCCTGATGAGGGGGCTTGGGAAGCTAAACCCTGATTATCCTGAACCCCTGAAAAAGAAAAACTACAACCCCCACAACCTAAACCCTAAACCCTACACCCCTAAAGCCCTACACCCCTAAACCCTTAAACCCCCTAACCCCCTACACCCCTAAACCCTAAAGCCCTAAGCCCTAAACCCTAAACCCTGATCCTTAGCCCAAAGCATCCTAGCCCTAAAGCCCTAAGCCCTAAACCCTAAACCCTAAACTCTGATCCTTAGCCCAAAGCATCCTAGCCCTAAAGCCCTAAACCCTGGCCCTAAACCCTAAACTCTGATCCTTAGCCCAAAGCATCCTAACCCTAAAACCCTAAACTCTGATCCTTAGCCCAAAGCATCCTAAAACCCTAAAGCCCTTAACACCAGAAATCTCCCAACCTGCACTGTGCCATGCTCACATATCCGGGACCTGGGCTATGAAGTTCGTGTTTGGGAGGTTAGGGTTTAGGGTTTAGGGTGTAGGGTTTAGGGTTTAGGTTGCTGGGGATTTTCAAAGCATGAAAAGCTCTATGGTTTAGGGCCCTAGGGCGCTTTAGGGTTGCGGGTTTGTTTTTGGTTTTCGGGTTTAGGCTTTAGGGCTAAGGGGGTTAACGTTTGGGTTTTGGGGTTCTGGGTTTAGGGCGCAAGGCATTTAAAGCAGAATGCAGTTAGGAGTTTGGGACTAGAGGCTTGAGGTTTAAGGTTTAGGACAACAGAGGTTAACCGTTTTGTGATGGCATCACCGGCCCTACACGATTAAAGGTTGCCCACCCAGTTACTAAGGCATTGGGTCCTCGGGGCCTGCCGGGATTTCAGGTTAGGTCTGCAGAGAAACAGGCCTGCTACGTAACAGCGACCAGAACCATCACATGGCGAGAAGGCTGATTCACCTTCACCGCCGAGCTGTCATATGAGGCCAGAGAAGAGGACAGCCACAAAATATCACCAGATAGTGCAACCCTGAATGACAGCAGTCCCCACCCCCTAGTTGGTCCCTGAGCTTAGGGTTTCGAGCTGAGGTACTGTGAAAAGAGCTACCCCTTATGCACATGCCTGGCCCTGCACCTGGTAACCCCGAATGATCCCCAGGGAACCCCTCTGCGGCTGCTGCCGCTGCTGCAATATCGTGAACCCCCAACCCCCAACCTCCCGACTACCACCTATCGAGTCTACTACGACGGGTGACAAGACATGCTGCAGGCCAGGCAACAAATATTTTAACACATGCAAATATAGTACAGAACTGGAACGAACACACAGAGGCCCGCAAGACTGACGAGCCGTCCGCCGTCTGCATCATCAACGTATCTTCACCCGCACAGCGTCTGGAACCGTCAACGACGACAAATCCAAATTGCACCGGCAGCATCATCAACCCATCATTCCACCCCAACACAAGTGCATCTTCACACGAGATGCGTCCACTTCCAGGGAAGAGCAAATCTCAAACGCCAGCACAGGCAACATCGAAGCGCAGCCGCGACCCGCACCTCTACAAAAGAGGCTTCAACCACCAGCATCGTAAATGAATCTACCGTTTCACCCATGCGGAGAATTCTACGACCCAAATAAAAAGCACCAGCAGCAACATAGACCACTGAAGACTGACTTGGGACGGGGCCAGCAAAGGCAACATCAAGAGAACATACTTTCTGGTATTGTATAAACATGTACAAACCTCAAGAAAGAGTTCGCAACAAAGGTACACGAAACTAGGTTCTGTCAGTTTAAAGCTTGCGGTATGTCGTCCACAGATACCCTGGTCGGAAGCTGCACTTACTCGCAGCAATGCAAAGATGCTGAGATCGCGGCTTGTCGTTGCGGTCTACATCCGTGCACATGGTGATTTCGGACCTGGAAGCATCCAGGCGGCTAGGGCCCTAAACTCCACCACTTTAAACTACCATAACCTACTTTGTTGTAGGTCCTTGCTATAAACCCCATCAATCAACATAGAATGAAAAAAGACTCGATGGGGTGGGGTGATGAGGAGATAGACATCTGGCAGCAAACAACAAGGAAAAATATGTTGACCGGTGGCTGCGCTTGTGTAGTGTAACTGCCTCACTCCCCGTCGCTGTCTTCAGCTGCTTCTTTCAGGGTAGTGAGGGAGAACTCTTTCTGGAGACAGGTGCCTGCCGTGAGGGGACGAGGAGAGAAACCATTCCGAGGTACCAACGAGAGAGACAATAGACATGGATGCCTGGCAGCACATGCCACTGGAACATGGCTGAATGTCACAGACTGTGCATGACTGGCTCACGCAAAAAGAGTAAGCAAGCACATGTGCACCGCCACTGTATACCGCTTCCGCTGGCTCTTGGCCCCTGCATCTCACTCCGAGATTGGCGGCAAGGTCATCTGCGTTCAGCTACTTTCACGAGGACGAAGATGAGCAACTCGAAGTCTCATGGTTGGCCGACTCAGGGTTTGAGGTCTGAATTTAACACAGGCACCGCTTACGAACACCTACTGCGTACCTTTGGGTATGCTATATAACCGTATAAGCCGCTCAGAAAGCCCTTGAACTCCAATATGTGACCTTCACACACTAAACCCTAAATCATAGACGCTGAAGCAACCCTAAACTTGTGAAATACAAGCCCTTTAACATCATTGATGCAGCCAAATACGGAATTTTCGAAACATGAGCTCCGAATGTGTAAATTGACATCCGAAACGCAAAATTTGAAACAATGCACGGGGAAAGAACACAACGTCGTTCAATATTTTCGTTGAATGAGGCATCTGGCAGGTTCACATTGTTGTTTTCGCTTGTTCGCTCTGTTTTCGAAGGGGGCAGCAGGGTAGGTCCGGATGCCTGGACCGTCTCAATCAGTTTTTGTGTTTTTCTTGTCTTGTCTCTTGGACATGTTTTTCGGGGTTTCTGATTTCGACGGAATTGTTTTAGTAACCCTCAGCCCAAAACCCTCACACTTGCAAACCTCAAACCCTGGATGCTGAAGCATAAAGTTCTGAGATCGACACTCCTCCTTCGGATCCGCGAGGATCTTCTTGATGTGTTCCGCATCCTTCGGGAGCACTGCCAAAGAGATCATGCAAGGGCCTAAATCAGGACCGTGGATTATATTCTAGTGCAGTTGTGGCTATATTAACCCCAGGGAATACTAGTTTAGATAGTGTTTGGGGTCGGGCGTTTATGGTTAAGGGCTTTGTTGGTCGGAATCCAGGATTGAGGAATCGCCAGACCTCCCCCACATCCCTAGACTGGCCAAGCAGAACCCAGAAACCTCGTCTAGAATTCTACAAGCCTGATAGAAGCCTTAACTTTTCTTTTATAGTAACGAAGCTGTCGAGGAGCCGTAGATAGATAGAGAGCCCTTCCAGGAGCCTGTCTAGAAACCTTACAAGAACCTTGATAACACAGAAGTATGGAGAATTACCAATACCGTTCGATTCCTTGCACTCCCATTCTCACTACAGTGTAATAAGCCCCCAAACCCACATCGAATTTTTAAGACCCGTATACAATGATCACCCTGATAGATCTAGACCCTTTTAAGGTTTTCAGGAAAGAGCCCTGTCTAATTATTAAGGGCCCCCCTTCCAAACCGTAAACCCTTTCAGCACGGACTGAGGTGCAGGCCAGCGCCCTAAACCCTAAGCCCTAAACCCTAAACCCCAAAACCCCAAACCCTAAACCCCCAAACCCTAAAGCACTGAAGCCCTAAACCCCTCCATCCTGGGCTCCAAAATAGCACAGAAGCAAAACTTAGGGTTTAGTGTTATCCCATATAATCTCCCTTAAAATGAAGCCCAATAAGCTAAGGCTCTAAGGACTCATATGTTAAGGCTTTTTGGCCCAAACACCCTATTATATACGGCTTTTAGGCTATTTTGATGCTAAGGGAATAAGGTAAGGACATCCCTACGGTCCCTACATCCCTAATCCCTAACCTGCGGAGCGGCCTCTAAAGCATTCTTTCCGCGCTTGATGGTGCCGCTGATGGGGCAGGTTTCCACCTAAGACCCCGGTACGCAGGGATCTCCGCTACTACTATCAACAGACCCACCCGAAATACTGCTACTAAGGGTTCATTTTGGGGGTTATAGAGGTACAAGGCTTACATAAGGATTTACTGGAAATATTTTGAAGCTTTACAACGTTGCCTCACTCTAACAAAGGATGCTAGGGTCCGAAGTTACATGACCCATAGTTCGCAAGGTTGCAGGATCTTGCTCAGGAAAGTGTTCAGAGCTCCAAAACAGCAAAACACTTTTCTGAACCCTTCCGTAGAAGTGTAGGACGGTCGGAGGGCAACATCAGAAACACACGTTAAGCCCGACGCCCCAGCCAAGAAACATTAGTCCATCCAACAGGAGCCACCAGACCCCCAACACCCTGAACCAGTAATACAGAGATCTGAAGAGTTGGGAATGATACTCCCCATTCTCCCCTTCATATCTATATCATGTGTGTGTATACAATGTACATAGGCATACATCTGCCCCCAAACCCGAGCCTAACTGCAAAGACCCACATGCTACCCTCTACGACTCTACGAGAGCTTAGAACACACGGTTTGGAATAAATTTATGGCAGCGTCCAGGCTCTTGGTCGGGAAAAACGAAAGAAAGAAGGATCGGTTGCTAGGTACATACATAGGCAGATAGATAGATAGATAGATAGATAGATAGGTAGATAGATAGATAGATAGATAGATATATCGATCGATAGACGAATAAGTAGATAGATAAGTAGGTACGCAAGTAGATAGCTAGTTAGATAGATCGATAGACGTAGGTAGGTATGTAGGTAGGTAGGTAGGTAGGTAGGTAGGTAGGTAGGTAGCTAGCTAGCTAGCTAGCTAGGTAGGTAGGTAGGTAGGTAGGTAGGTAGGTAGGTAAGTGGGTAGCT